TTCCTTTCCTGCTGTCCCCCTTTTCCTTTCCTGCTGTCCCCCCTTCCTTTCCTGCTGTCCCCCCTTTCCTTTCCTGCTGTCCCTCCTTCCTTTCCTGCTGTCCCCCCATTGCCCCTGCCCCGATGTGTCCCCCCTGCTGCCTCTGTCCCTTGTGTCCCACTGGTGGGGTGTCCCCCAGGGGCTCCCCCCTCCCAGGGGGAGCAGCAGAGCAGCCCCCAACCCAGGGCAGGGCAGAGCTCAGACCTCGCAGACCGGGCTGGGGAAGGGGAGAGGGTCCCTTTTCCCCTCCTGCACCTCGGGCATCACCCTCTTGGGGTGTTGGGGTGTCCCCCCCCCTACTTCTGACCCCCTCCCCAGCTCCTGCAGCCCCGTGCCCAGCACGATGGCCACGGGGGAGCTGACAGAGCTGGAAAGGGCCATCGAGCAGGTTGTCACTGTCTTCTTCACCCACGCGGGGAAGGGGGGCAAGAAGGGCTCTCTGACCACCAGCCAGTTCAAGGAGCTGGTCCAGCTCCAGCTGCCCAACCTGATGAAGGTGAGGAGAGGACGTGTCGGGGTGGTTGGACCCCCTGGGGTTCCCTGGGTTTGTACCCTGGGGTCTTGTAAGGAAGAGCAGCAGCTCCTGCTCCATCCTGTTCCCTTCCCTGTCCTCCCTGCAGGATGTTCCTTCCCTGGAGGAGAAGATGCAGGAGCTGGATGTGAACAAGGATGAGGAGCTGGGATTTGGGGAGTACTGGAGGCTGGTGGGGGAGCTGGCCAAGGCCATGAGGAGGGAGAGAGCAGGGAAGAAGAAGTGATGGGGCTGCTGGGGAGACTGGGCCGAGGTGGAGGGAATAAAAAGAGGTTTCCCTGAGTCCTGAGTGTGGTTCTTGGGCAGGGGGGGAGCTCCCAATTTTGGGCAGCTCGTCTCCACCCCGTGGGCATCTCCCCTGGGGACCAGCCCAGCACCAGGAGTGGTGGGTTGGGGCTCCCCTTGGGTCTTGAGGTGGCTCCTGGGATGGATCAGAGCAGTCCCAAATTGCTCTTGCGTTGGTCTGGTTGGTGAGGTGCCACCCTGTGCCCCACAAACACCTTCCTGAGCCCCACAACCACCCCCCTGAGCCCCATAGACACCTCCCTGACCCCACAACCACCTCCCTGAGCCCCATAGACACCTCCCTGACCCCACAACCACCTCCCTGAGCCCCATAGACACCTCCCTGACCCCACAACCACCTCCCTGAGCCCCATAGACACCTCCCTGAGCCCCACAAGCACCTTCCTGCCGGGCTGTGGGGTTGCTTTGGACAACCCCAATGGGTGGCAAAGATGTGGCTGGGCCTGGGATGAGGCTCAGGAGCATCTATGGCAGTGATGGATGTGGTGGCCACCACCTCCAGGCCTTGCTGTCCATCTTCTCTGGGGTCCTGGGTGGCACAGGGGGAGACGTGTCCATGGGCACAGTGTGTCCCTGGCTCAGCACCCCCCACTGAGCTCCTGTTCCCAGTGTTCAGCTCCCAGATCTTGGCACTGCTGGGAAACAGCAAAATCCCTGCCATGGGGTGACCCATGAATGGGGCCTCCAGGAAAGCTGGGGAGGGACCTGGGCCAAGGGCAGGGAGGGATGGGATGAGGGGGAGGGATGAAAAGTGGGAGAGGGAGCTGGAGGTTGGAGCTGAGGAGGGAATTGTGGAGTGTGAGGGTGGGGAGAGCCTGGGCCAGGTTGCCCAGGGAAGCTGTGGCTGCCCCATCCCTGGGGGTGTTGAAGGGCAGGTTGGATGGGGCTTGGAGCAGCCTGGGCTGCTGGGAGGTGTCCCTGCCCATGGGGGGGTTGGATCTAGATGGTCTTTAGCTCATGGGATGGTTTGGGTTGGA